ACTGTCATATTTATGATCAGAGTCATTGTAGTCCTGGAATATGATCATCTGTGTCTTGAAACTGAATGATGTTTGAAAAAATATAAAAAATGTGAATCATATTTTCAAATCAAATAATAATTTTTGTAAAAGTGGTAATTATTTCCAGAATAAAATTAATCGAAAAATAACTTGCATCTTATCCATGAAGCTTACAAGGACAAAAGAAGGAAACTCCCATTCACATTACATAATTTATTAAAGGGGTCATGAACTGAGAAACCAAATTTCACTTGATCTTTTGACATGTGAGAGGTTATTGTGCTATAAAAACATCCTGTAAATTTCAGAACTCAAAACTTTCTTGTTAGTCTAAAAACAGCTTAGCTTGAAGCCAGTCTGCTAAAACGACAGCTTGTGGAATGTGCCACTTTATGACGTAATAGTGTAGCTAAACATTGCCTCCGCAGTTCCAGACCACGTCAGTAAGAACTCGAGGTGCGTCCCAAATCGTGTACTTATGCACTATTCTATGACTTTCTGTAGTATATATAAATAGTGCGAGTAGTGCGTTCATGCTGAAAATTCCAAAAAGAAAAAGTGCACTTTAAATACCTGGATGATGCACTTAAATAACCGAAAAAAAGGAAGTGTGGAATGTTGGACACTTCATGCACTCAACTGTCGCAGCTTTAATTACGTAGCGAAGGGGGATGGGCTACCAGACTCAGATTATGAACACACACACACACACAAGCTCCAATCTCAGCATTGAGCTGCTCGTTTCCTCTCATGGTTCATGATGTGGATGATAAATGCGCAATTCCTATTCACAGCACAGACAAGAAAGGTTCAGCCACTTCACTCAGATGAAGGAGTTGGTGGGGGTAGCATGTGGCCATGAGGGAAACTAGCTGAGTTTTGGCTAGTGATCATAATATATACGCTAATATAACAATTCAATTCTGATGTAATGATCTCAACTGACAACATGAATCTTCATGGTCATATTTATGTAACATCCAACAAAGTCGTAGTCATAGACTACGACTTTCATAGGAATATGATCATTTGTGTTTTGAAAATGAATGACGTTTAAAAAAAGGCTTCATTATATCTGTCTGTTTCACCCTGAAATATTTATTGGTAATCAAAATAAATAGAAAAATAATGACACCTTATGTAAGTTTTGCAGCTTATCCTTGAAGCTCACAAGGACAAGAGGAGGGAACTACATCTCCATCGTCCAATTACATTACATAATGTTAATAATACCAATTACCATTGACACTTGTATTCACGTGTTTCATGCACTCAACTGTCGCAGCTTTAATTACGTAGCGAAGGGGGATGGGCTACCAGACTCAGATTATGAATGACAAAATAATCATATATAATTCATACACTACATGATTGAGTGCATAAGTACATGTATAAGTGCATAGTGTATAGTGCGTCATTTGGGACCTAGCTTCTGTCTTTTGTTTACTTCATTTTACTGCAGATTCTTTTACAAACAAGGCACAATTCGACGCAGGATTTTCAGAAACATTGAAACTGAAAGACGATGCTGTGCTGACTATATTGGATTCGACAGTAATGTCGCAACACAAGTGTGAGTAACTGTTTTTTTTTTTTTATGGTCACTATTGCTTTGTCTGTTAAACAGATCGTTTGATATTAATATTTATGCGTTTTTAACCTAAATCACTGCATTGTCCATCTGTGAAGGATCGGATGTAGGCTGGCAAACATACACAACTATTAGCTAATCATAGCAGTGGGCATTTACTTCCAAGTCTAAAATCCACCACACCAATTGTTCTGATGAGGGGGTCAAAAACAGTACAGAAAATAGCTTATTACTTATAATTTATAAATTGATGTTTTTTATATAAAAATATTGATAACATTATAAGTGGCTCAGAGAACAGTACAAATAAAAAAAACAAAACAAAGGCAGTTCATGACCCCTTTAATATTTCATCTGTATTAACAATGTAGTTTAATACAATTAGCAATGACGCCTGTGATCACTCTGTTTTGACTTAAAGAGATAGGTCACACAAAAATGGAAATTCTGTCATCACATAATCACCCTCATGTCAGTCCAA